TAGGCTCGCTGGGCGGGGCTCGGTCCTGGGCGAGGCCTAGGTTCGGGGGACGGGGCTAGGTCCTAGGACAGGGTAGGCTCGCTGGGCGGGGCTCGGTCCTGGGCGAGGCTTAGGCTCGGCGGGCGGGACTAGGTCCTGGGTGAGGCTTAGACTCGGCGGGCGGGACTAGGTCCTAGGACAGGGTAGGCTCGCTGGCCGGGGCTAGGTTCTGGGCGAGGCTTAGGTTCGGTGGGCGGGGGGTAGGTCTTAGCGGCTCTCCTTGCACCCTCCCGCTCAGTCCCTGACTGCCAGCCTCCTCCTTACCCCTACGCATTGCATCCCTCGTGGGGCTACAGGGACCGAAGGGGATCATCGAAGGATCACCCGTGTGTGCGCTAAGGCTGAGACAGGCTGCTCCGTAGAGGCGGCCAGGACGGTCTTCCTCTCGCCTAGGGATCCCCACTAGAGAATGGAAACCTGACTTGCTGTACCATACTTCCCTTCTCTCGAGGGCTTCGTGTGTTCTTCAAGACCTTACCCATCGTGCCCTCCTAGCCCGCCCCTGGAACCCACTGTCACCATGTGGCTGTTGAGGTAATAATTAAGTTCAGGAAACACCCAGGCACTTACGAGACTTCTCCCATGGTGCTGTGGATTCCAGAGTGAAGCCTGACCCTTCGTTTCCCAAAAGCCCAGACAGGAGAAAAGCTGGCTCAGGGGAACCTCTGCTTCTCCTGAGACAACTATGGGGCCTGAGACCTGGGCACACCAAGACTGGGCTCAGCTGTGTGGGATGCTCCCCTCATGTCACCCACCTCTGGGGCTTTTCCTCTAAACCAGCCCCCAGTGATACCACCAGGCCCCAAGTGGTGCACACGCCCCAGAACCGGGCACACCAAGACTGGGCTCAGCCATGCGGGATGCTCCCCTCATGTCACCCACCTCTGGGGCTTTTCCTCTAAACCAGCCCCCAGTGACACCACCAGGCCCCAAGTAGTGCACACACCCCAGAACTGGGCACACCAAGACTGGGCTCAGCCCTGTGGGATGCTCCCCCCCATCATGTGTCACCCACCTCTGGGGCTTTTCCTCTAACCAGCCTCCAATGACAGCACCAGGCCCAGAGCGGTGCACACGCCCCAGAACAGAGGACCCTGCGTGCAGGCAGACAGGGCGGGGTGGGGATAGTGCAGGTGAGAGCCTGGCCAGAGAGTGGTACTGACCCCTGGCAGGCTGCAGGGTGTGTGCTGGGGACCCGAGGCTGGCAGTCTGAAGGGAAGGCAGCAGGCGTGGCAGCTGTCAGCTGAGGAAGGAGAGACAGCAAGAGTTCTAGTACCCAGGAGTCTATAAGGAAGACGTTCAGAAAACACTGATAGCAAGGTAAAAGGGGCCCAGGTGGGTCCCAGGATGGTCAGTCCAGTGGGCAGCAAGAAGGCTAGAGGCCTTGGAGTGTAGGCATCCAGCCACCCAGATCAGTTCAGGTTTCCAGTTTCTTTTACTCAAGCAGTAGAGTCTTCTTAACCTACTCTCGAAAATTTATAGGTTAGAAATTTCTTCCTATATTTCAGTCATTCACTTACATTTCCAGCAATTTAGTAGTTGCTATTATCAATGTGATCTTTTTCTCACTACATTTTCTAATTAGTAAATAGGTATCACTGACCTCTTAGTGTTAATTTTCACCAGATGTCTTATACTTTCTAAGTAGATGATCTGATCACCTGTAAATAATTCCTTTTCAATCTTTGGTGCTTTCTTTTGGGCTCGATCTCCAATACATACACAGTTGTTCAGTACTGATGCTATTGATGCAAGTAATTTTTCTTGATTTTATACACAGATGTTCTCAAGACTTTGAATTTTCCCAGAAAACCTCACAACTTTCCCTTGCAAATAACCAAGAGAAATACTCATTTAATATCTAAACAATAGTACTTTATTGATAAAAGGTTAGTATAAATGGATACAAAATTGCTGTGTAAAATAAGTGTTTTCAAAATACATTTCTACAGGTAGAGACTATCTCTTAGTAAAAGAGCAGTTATCTATAATCAAAAGTATCTATTTAGATTTGGGCAGTAAAACCAAAGGGGATGAGAAGTGTAGCAGTGTGGGTCCTCCCTCCCTGCAGAGCTGATACCAGGAGGCAGCGTGCCTGAAGTACTTTCACTCAAACATATGCGGGGCTTAGTGACTTGCAAACTTGTTTTTCTTTTTTATAGATTTTCCAACAAAGTTATTAAATGGCAAACTCAAATAATGGACTCTGCATGGATGTACTCTAAAGTCATGGAACACTTTTGCTTAGTTACCTTCACACAACAAGCCATAACATATAGCTTTTGGCTATTCACAATTAAGCAACAGTGAAGGGGCAATGTTAGCAAGAATACCAGATTTTCTGTAGCACACCTTCGTATTATTATTTAACTGTCTCATTTTATGTTTTCTTTCTAGCCCCCACAAAAACCAAAAAACCCTGTCTCATCCTCAGATTAAGCATTTTCTCCATCTCCCTACACAACCATCGTCTCCTTTCATCTGTCACTTTCTCGGGCTGAATTTCCCAACTTCAGTAGAAATGATAAAAAAGGCAACCGCTGGAGTGTACCACAGGGAGACACAGGAAGAAAGGTGACACTAAGGCTACAGTGCACAGAAAACGGATCAGGTGTGGCTTCGACTGTGCGCACCTGCCCACTAGCCCATGCTACAGATTTAAAATGTCTTTCACTTTGAGAAGACACATGGTTTATATTACACAAAATGAATGAAAACGACAACGGCTAAAAATAAATGAGACAGTCTGCACACAAAAAAATGATTACTGCTATTTTCCTCCCATCAGAAAGTCACTCAAAAAGGGGGTATTTAAAGGAAACCCAAATCAGGAACACCCGGTAGGCATCAGAGGTTCAGGGCACCAAGGCCTTAGGGAGGAAACACTTTTCAGTGAAGCTGTGCTTCAGGAACACGCCCACCAACAGACCCCAATTTCCACAGGGGAGGCAGATCTACTACAGTTACAGAAAATACACTAAAGTGCAATATAAAATATAAAAAGGTTGGATTCTGAACAGACCAACTGCTAATTTTCCTTAAAAATTTTAATTTGGTTGAGTAAAAAGTTTACTGAATCTCGTTTTGTAGGTAAGAGTCTTAATTGCAATACAAAAACTGGAGCTCATGACTACTTTGATTTTCTCTGTAGCACAGGATAACCAGTATTAGTGGAGAACACTACAAAAAGGGGCTTGCGGTAAGTTCTTTGCATAGGGGTTTTAAAAATGACCTAGATCAGAATTAAGAGACTTCTTTAAAACTCACCTCTAAAAAAGCTGTTTAAGTATAAAGATGTATCTCATTAGGAAATTCTATTCTGTTTTATTTGGTTAAGAGATAAAATCACAGACGAATCAACAGTATAGAATTATAGCAGCAAAACTGGTTTTAGGTGTTGTGTACAAACATAAAAGCAAGGAAGCAGAGAGTCTCCAAATGGTATGATGTGGTAAGCAGATGGCCTTGCACCAAGTCAGTGCATCTTTCTACATCACTAAGCTCACACCTCTACCACTCAGATTATGGGTAAATCTGAATGTTCTAGATATAAATCAGGAGTGCTCATCAATGGTTAGTCAGTTGTTAAGTCAGTTAAATCAAAGAAATTCAGTATTAAGCATACATGCTGATTCTTGGAAATCAATTCTAACATTAGTGGTTAGGGAGAAAGAAAAGGAAAACATTCACCTCACAAAATACAGAGTGTAACATAGCAATGAAATACATATGTTAAAAGTACTTCATACAAAAAACACATCAAAAGTCTTTTAAAAATTAAATTCTCAGGCACAGGTACTGTTAAAATGTGGATGGCACCCTCCCAAGGATTGAAAACACACAGCTGGATCACGCATCTGGAATGTTTTCTTTTTTATCCAGGAAAGTGTTTTCTAGAAAAAAGAAAACAAAACACACTTAAGTGTGAGTGAGGCAATGTCTGCTGCATTGATCATTAAGTTCTACTTTTCTCATAAACTGAGCAAAAGGCAGGGCTTACATGACCACAAAGTTAACTGAATCAAAACACCACTCATAAGGCTCTTGGAAACTGGAAATGCCGCAAAACTAAAAAGTATACAGAAATAAAATTTTATCTATCTAAAAGTAAAATTTTCATTCCATAAGGTTGAAACCAGAAGCTCAGAGAAAATGAGCAAACACCTGTCACTGCTTCCTGCTTCAACTGAGCTGCATAGCTGAGGCATCCTTGTCTCCTTCCACTGTACCCTCACTTCCCCAGTCACATGCCAACACAGGCTATGCAGGACCAGCCTCTAGAGTCAGCAGGCCATCGTTTAAAAGTTATGGGACCATCAGCAAATAATGTTAAACTCTCAGAGCAGCAACAATTTCCTTATCAGTAAAGTGTGAACTAAGCACATACCCTTAGGACTATTCTAAGGTGTCAACGTGATGATGAAACTAAAGCAACCAACTTGGACCCAGCTGGGGGTGACATGGATGTTTTCTTTACATTAACTTATCAAACTGTACATACATATTTTTGTGCATTTTGTGTAAATACTGTATTTTACAATGAACACCTTTCCCAGTAAGCTGCAAGAGGGTTTGGTGACTAAGGCTCCAGCAAGACACTCCGGGTCCTTCCTCAGCCACTTGTCCATATGTCATGGAGGCCTAAAGACTCCCTGCCTTCTGCCCACCCACCCTGCCATAAGTCGGTGAAGGTTCAAGTCCCTTCCCCGTTTTCATGAACACACTCATGCTTCCAGAATGAGGTCCCTGAATTTTAGGGGAGACCATCTACAAAATTCCCAACGTTTCTTCCTCACATCTTGGCCAACTCAAACTCTCTTTCAAGCTCTAATCACATCTCTTGTATAAGGTCTGCCTTTACCCCAGCATCATGTGACCCACCCTCTTCTTTGGACTCTTAGGTTGTTACCTGACTTGACCTTTCATGCTTTTCCTCTGGCAAGTGATGGGAGTGGCCACCTGGCCAGTTCACAGAGCCTGCCTGTCCATAAGATACAAGGGAGTGGGCATGTGCCTTTTCCTGATCCTCAGTGTCTAGAGTCTGCAGATTCTTTTCAAGCAGGCAGACCAGCACACACTAATGACCGTCAGTCAGGACAAAGCTATCAGAGGAATAGGAGGTCAGCGGTCTCCATCCAGGGAATCCTTATCTACCTGGCATAATTCTTCCTCCTTGTGCCATCTTTACTTTTAATCTGTACAAGCTGTTTTAATAATACATTTTTATTCCCTTTAAAGAGATGTTTTAACAATTAACAAATTTCCAATAATACAACTAATAAAGGTGCTTTAATACATAATTTCCTTCTAATGTTGATATTTGCAAGCTTAGAAAATAACCTGCAAATGTACCCCAACAAAATAAAAGTTGTAATTATTAAAAAAAAAAGAGACAAAAATGTGAGAAATCTTTACTAGAAAGTAGGTGGCAAAGTAGTGGCTTCTGTTTTTCAGGAGCAATCTCTTCTCGTTTAAGATTAGTGATGGAGTTACTTCAAAATGCAAAATATTAATGAGGCTTAAGGAGGAACCTGTCATATTTAAGCTGCTACAACAATGTTAGTAACGACTGCCTGTCTTTCAGGCTAAGGGACAACAGGGCCTACCTGTGACGTCTTGGTATGTGCACATGGCTTTACACGTGGTGCCCGAGAGCCCCACCATCGCCATCCCCGCCCTGCATCTGCATCTGCATCTGCGCCTGCATCCTTGCAATCATCTCTTGCATGCGGCGGAGCTGTGAACACACACATAGGTTTTCAAGGTTTGCTATCTTTGAACATTACTTCTGGGTGTTCTGTGACTCCTAAAATTTCAACCTCTATACTTTCCCAAAACATGACAGAGTTATTATATAGACTTCTTGCCAATCGATTAAAAAACCAACAGCTAAAGAGAAAACCAAGTAAATGATATGAATATGCAAGTCAAACAGAAACAATAACCAAAGAAAGATAAGACAATATGATACATTTTCTTTTTTTTTTTTTTTTTGAGATGGAGTCTTGCTCTGTCGCCCAGACTGGAGTGCAGTGGCCAGATCTCAGCTCACTGCAAGCTCCGCCTCCCGGGTTCACGCCATTCTCCTGCCTCAGCCTCCGGAGTAGCTGGAACTACAGGTGCCCGCCACCTCGCCCGGCTAGTTTTTTGTATTTTTTTAGTATAGACGGAGTTTCACCATGTTAGCTAGGATGGTCTTGATCTTGTGACCTCGTGATCCGCCCGTCTCGGCCTCCCAAAGTGCTGGGATTACAGGCTTGAGCCACCGCGCCTGGCCGATACATTTTCTTAAGACAGAGTCTCGCTCTGTCGCCTAGGCTAGAGTGCAGCGGCACAAGCTTAGCTCACTGCTACCTCTCCCTCCCGGGTTCAAGCAGTTCTCCTGCCTCAGCCTCCTGAGTAGCTAGGATTACAGGCACACACCACCATGCCTAGCTAATTTTTGTATTTTTAGTAGAGATGGGGTTTCACCATGTTGGTCAGGCTGGTCTCAAACTCCTGACCTCATGATCTGCCCGCCTCCGCCTCCCAAAGTGCTGGGATTACAAGTGTGAGCCACTACACCCGGCCAATATGAGAAATTTTCTAACCTAAAAGGAGGGAAAGAGACTGATGACAGTGGGAAATGCAAAGTAAAGGGGAATGGGAATGAGTCAGCTTTTCTGGAGGGCAACGAAGGCCTCACAATAAAAATAATATATATACATACATATATATGTATTTGTTTTTAAAGGGATGGGATCTTGCTCTTTTGCGTAGGCTAGACTGCAGTGGCACAATCATAGCTCACTGCATCCTTGAACTCCTGGGCTCAGGGAATCCTTCTGCCTCAGCCTCCTGAGTAGCTGGGACTACAAGTGCATGCCGACATGCATGGCTAATTATTTTTTAATTTTTTTGTAGAGACGGGGCGGGAGGGGGGGGGGTCTCACTCTGTTGCCCTAGCTAGTCTTGAACTCCTGGCATGAAGTGATTCTCCTACCTTGGCCGCCTAAAGTGCTGGGACTGTAAGTGTAACCCACAGTGCCTGGCCAAAAATAGTGAACGTTAATTCATCTTTATCCTTATCATTATGATTTGTATGTATTCAGAAATGCCTCCAGGAAAGTATTATAAAACATTCAACTAAATCTTCTTCAGGTAACTTTGTGGTTATTTTTAACATTTAAATATTTGATCAATATTGAATTAATTTGACAAAAGAAGTATTTTCTTTCTGTTTCCAACAGGCTAGCCCATTATGATCCTATTGTTTACTGAATAATGTGTTTGCCTTCCAAAACTCCAGCAGATCTGAATGCCACCTTTACAACAGCGCATATTTCCATATTTATGATCTACTTACAAAAATCAGTGACATTACTAAATTGTCTCCAAAGTCTTTCAGCTAAATATATGAAGCATTATGTATGCTATGTAAGTATCCATGTTTATTACATATACATGTGTATATATAGTAATAAAATAGTTGTATGTATCCTCAACAAATTAAAAAAGAAAAACTATAAATTATAAGTTAATTACCAATGGTATCTATCGATGTAAACACGAAACAGCTTTAGTCACAAGAACAGTAGTTTTCAGCTGCGCGCAGTGGCTCACACCTGTAATCCCAGCACTTTGGGAGGCCAAGGTGGGCAGATCACGTGAGGTCAGAAGTTTGAGACCAGCCTGGCCAACAGGGCGAAACCCCATCTTTACTATAAATAAAAAAAGACCTAGCCAGGCATGGTGGTGGGCACCTGTAGTCCCAGCTACTCAGGAGGCTGAGGCAGGAGAATGGCTTGAACCCAGGAGGCAGAGGTTGCAGTGAGCCGAGATCACACCACTGCACTCCAGCCTGGGCAACAGTGCAAAACCCTTGTCTCAAAACAAACAAAACAACCAACCAATCAATAATACTTTTCTACTTACCTCAGCTTCTTTTTCCAGCAAGATCTGGTCTTTATTCATGTCCTCATTCTCCACTTTTCTAAGAATTGAAAGAAATCAGAATTATAATGCTGCAACAAATAGCTATTTGATAACCCCCAACAAATTCTACTTTAAAATTTAAAATGACATGTATTCATCCTTCTTTTTTTTACTGAGATGGTGTCTTGCTCTGTCGCACAGGCTGGAGTGTAGTGGCATGAGCTTGGTTCACTGCAACCCCCACCTCCTAGGTTCAAGCAATTCTCCCACCTTAGCCTCCCAGGTAGCTGTGATTACAGAAGCGCGCTACCACGCCCGGCTGATTTTTTTATGTTTAGTAGAGACGGGGTTTCACCATGTTGGCCAGGCTCGTCCGAACCTCAAGTGATCTGCCCGCCTTGGCCTCCCAAATTGCTGGGAATACAGGCGTGAGCCACCACGCCCGGCCTATCATTTTTCCAATTAAAGACATAATGAATAAAAAGGAAACAATGATTTTTTTAAAAAGTTCAAACAACATGAAATGGAACATTGAAGAGACTTTTCTTACTCTAGGCTTGAGTGACAACACTTGCTGTTACCCACTCAAAAAACAGGTATTATCTGAAGAATTCGCTTTGAGATGAGCTATTCTTTATTAATATGAATGTAGTCACCACACTTAAGGAAGGAGCAGGATCTGTGTGAGTGAGCGAGGGGCAAAGGGCGAGCTCCCCAAGCACACCTGAGCATCACGCTCTGCAGAGCACACTAATCCCCGTCTCAGGGCCAGCGCCTGCTCAGCTTCCAGAGGGTGGAATTTTCTAGCTGCCTCTAAAATCTTTCTTAATGTGGTTTCCAAACTCGTAATTAGACTTCACTGTGGACAACGTATGTATAACTTACATAAAGACATATTAGCATGGCTAAAAAGAAAAGGTGAGTGAGGGCGGCTGCAGGACTTTACAAGGATTGAAGCTGCTGCTTCAGTGGCCACTGGCTGCTCGGAAGTCACTCATCCTGGCCTCACCCTTAACTCAGGCGCTGCAGTTTCTTAATGGCAACAAGTTTGTCCTCATGTACAGAGTGATGCTTTTGAAGGAGGACTCGACACAAGCCTCTGGCCTGTCCTAAAGGTCTAAAGTCTTTGTTTGTTTGTTTTTTGAGACAGGGTCTTGTTTTATTGCCCAGGATGAAGTGTAGTGGTGCAATTATGGCTCACTGCACCTCCCAGGCTCAACTGCTCCTCCCAACTCAGCCTCCTGAGTAGTATGTGCTACCATGCTCGGCTAATTTTTTTTTTTTTAATTTTTGTAGAGATGGGATTTCACCATGTAATCCTATGGTCTCAAAACTCCTGAGCTCAAGCAAACTACCTCGCCTTGGTATCCCAAGGTGCTGGGATTAAGGCATGAGCCACCATGCCTGGCCTAAAGTTTTTATGTGCGTATCATTAAATGTACTTTTTTTTTAAAAGGCTAAAAGAGCATAATTTGATTAAATTAACAACTCTTTTGTAGTAACTTTTGAGTAGGAAACCAAACCATGTTGCTTAATGGTCAAGAAGGCTGAGCTGAACACACAGAGGAAGAGGAACATCATGGCTCAGGGTGACCAATACAGAGGAAGGGGCACAGTGTGATGATGACCTGCCGCCTCTCTTAAGTCTCTCAGAACGGAAGTTTTCATAATGAAGGTCCTGGGTCACCTCCTGGAGATCCTGCATGTGTGTGCTGAAAGAGAAGAGGAATACACTAAGGTGGCCTCATGCATGTGACATTCTCACGAGAAAAAAAACCACCCATCAAGTACATAGAAGAAATAGCAGTAATTAAAATTACTTGGTAAATTGTACATAAAGCTGCTGGGATTTCAGGATAAGGAGTATGGCCGTGGAAACATCTAATGAGGTATAGCTCTCCCTTTGTTCCCCAATCAATGATACACAAACACAGGTCTGGACTGAGTCTCTCAGCAGGATTTCTGCCAGAGGCAATGCCACCCCGTATGAGGCCATCTCTACCACAGGATGGCAGATAGACAGATTTTAAGAGATTTTTAGGTCAACAATGTCTGAAATAGAAAACACTCTTCTAACAGGACTTACAGAAAATGTAATGAAAATATTCATGCCTCCCATAACTCAAAATTTATATATTACTCTCATATAAGAAGAAAGAGTTGGTTAGCTTAAGCTATGCAGAAGACCATAAAGTGAAGGACTAATATTCTGGATCCAAGAATATTAGTCAACAACTCAACCTTCCATTCATCTTATGACTTTTTAATTGCCTAGCTTACTCAAAATACTTAAGCAGTCCAGAATGAGCAAAACATTGTAACACACTCCTATTTATTCAGGATCCAGGGAAATGGATTGAGATAGCCAAGGAGGGGCTCACTCTACCTCACTGTGAGAAACACACAACTGACACTAAAGTGAAGTCCCCAAACCCCGTCTTCAGCCTCTACATCCCCCTCAATAATGGGGATCGGGACAGCCAAGGATGCAGCCCTGGAGGAGCTGAGTGCACTTAACTTCTTACACGACCATTAAATTGTGTTTGACAGAGCTTGGATGTTTTAACATGTTACTGATTTTAACTTACTACAAATTGCTAAACTAAGTGAGACATGTGGCAAATATATAGCAACTTTCAACTAATCAAAACATTGATTTCTCCATATCAGTCATTCTTTGAAGTCCTCTGATAAAAGAGGTATAGTTTAAGCGATACTCTCAGCCTGTTTTTGTTGAGATGAAGTCTTGCTGTTGTTGCCCAGTCTGGAGTGCAGTGGCGCAATCTCGGCTCACTGCAACCTCTGCCTCCAGGTTCAGGAGATTCTCCTGCCTCAGTCTCCCAAGTAGCTGGGACTACAGGCACCCACCACCACGCCTGATTAATTTTTTTGTATTTTTAGTAGAGACAGGGTTTCACCATGTTGGCCAGGCTGGTTTCAAACTCCTGACCTCAAGTGATCCGCCCGCCTTGGCCTCCCAAAGTGCTAGGAGTACAGGTGTGAGCCACCGCACCCTGCCTCAGCCTCTTTTTTCAAAAGTAAAAGCAATGTATGCATGCTACTGTATGTGAAATTAATTAATTTATTTATTTATTTTTATTATTTTGAGACGGAGTCTCACTCCATCTCCCAGGCTGCAGTGCAGTGGCGCAATCTCAGCTCACTGCAACCTCTGCCTCCTGGGTTCAAGTGATTCTCCTGCCTCAGCCTCCTGAGTAGCTGGGATTACAGGTGCGTGCCATCACGCTCGGCTAATTTTGTTTTTGTAATTTTAGTAGAGATGGGGTTTCACCATGTCGGTCAGGCTGGTCTCGAACTCCTGACCTCGAGATCCGCCAGCCTCGGCCTCCCAAAGTGTTGGAATTACAGGCATGAGCCACCACGCCCAGCCATGAAATTTATTTTTAAAGGAAAAGACATCTATTTTTGTAGTCAGGTCTGCAATTGTTATTAATAATAAATGGAAGACACAAAAAGCTAACCAGGGCCATCCAATGAGTCTCAGACTGGGGAGAAGGGCCCAGGTGTGGCTCAGCCTGGAGCAGCGGACCAGGAGCCTACACAGTCTGACCATTTCCTTACCCGCACTGGGGACCTCTCAGACCCCAGTTTAGGTTCTAGTCTCCTTTTAACATCAAAGATATAAGATCTTAGCAGGAAGGAAGGGTACTACAGGTTACAGGCCACAGGCAGAAGAGTTAGTTTAGTAGTGCCACAGAGGGCCCCTGGGTGAGGGTTCTCAGCACCAAGCTGCAACAGCCCCACACCACTTCTGCAATGTGAGAAACACTGAGGACGGCAATGAAGCTGCTGGCTGCAACTACCTTGGAGGTCAAGTGTACACCCCGTTTAAAATCCATATTCTTCATGCCAAATTCTGCCAGAAGGAACACACCAAATGTCTTACATGAGCATGGTTCTCAGCTTCAGAAAGTCGTTGTGCTCTGGGTTCTCCACCTCCACAACACCCCAGGGGTAGAGGCGGCCTCTGACCTTCTTTCCTTTGGCTTCAATCAACTGATTGGAGCCAACCACAGAGAACGGGATGCTAGCCTAGAAAGAGACACACAGAGTAGACAGGCTCCACACAGGGAACCCCAGAGTTCACTGTGAACACGAGAACATCAGCACAGACTTAACACAATGCTACTGACTACAAAATTTAATTGGAAATCTGGGGGTACGTAACATTTTCTTGAGAATTGTCAGATACCTTTCACATGGGACAAACTGCATGAAAACAAATTAAACCTACAATAAAATTTCTAAGCTTTAGGTGATAGCTGTACAATATTTTTTTTTGGGAGACAGACTCTTGCTCTGTCGCCAGGATGGAGTACAGTGGCACGATCTCACCTCACCGCAACCTCTGCCTCCTGGGTTCAAGTGATTCTCCCGCCTTAGCCTCCCGCGTGGCTGGGACTACAGGTGTGCACCACCATACCCACCTAATTTTTGTATTTTTGATGGAGATGAGATTTCACCATGTTGGCCAGGATGGTCTGGACCTCCTGGCCTCAACTGATCCATCTGCCTTGGCCTCTCAAACTGTTGGGATTATAGGCATGAGCCACTGCGAGGCCTTAAAATATATTTAAAGCAACATACCCAGACAATCGCTCTCATCTTAACACGGACAACAGTAAACAGGAGTTATTTATGTTGTGCATTTGAAGCCAGTTCTTACCTTGAGAAGTCTAGTCTGCTCTTTAAAATCTTCATCTTCATCTGATTCTGCATCAGGTAAGTGATAGATTTTGATGTTATGTTCTTCAATTTCATCCAGAATCTGAGAGAATGACAAAACCAGGATCAATTTTAGCAAACTGCCTATGTTATTATAGCCAATTCTAACTCATTGTGTAAGAAATACATCAGAATCATTCAAACGTCAATAATCAAACTGATTATGCAAGTTACTGTCAAATAAATTTATAAAACTGCGGCCAGGCACGGTGGCTCACGCCTGTAATCCCAACACTTTGGGAGGCTGAGGTGGGCGCATCACAAGGTCAGGAGATCGAGACCATCCTGGCTAACACGGTGAAACTCTGTCTCTACTAAAAATACACAAAATTAGCCAGGCGTGGCAGTGGGCGCCTGTAGTCCCAGTTACTGGGGAGGCTGAGGCAGGAGAATGGCATGAACCCGGGAGGCGGAGCTTGCAGGGAGCCGAGCTGGTGCCACTGCACTCCAGCCTAGGTGACACAGCGCTACTCCGTCTCAAAAAAAAAAAAAAAAAAATTAGCAATAATGCACCACTACCCTCAATGTACAAAGCAGTAGGAAGACTAACGATAGCCCCAGCACAACAGCTAAAATGGAAATCATATCACAATCAGCCTCAAGAAGGGCAATTGCCGCAGAGATGCTATAGGCATGAGAAGACCCTGGAGAACAGGCAGGAGTCTTAAAAGCAGAGAGAAGGAAGACGTACCCCAGATGGGGGAAAAAAAAAAAAACAACCTTGTCAAAGGTACAGAGAAGACACATGGAGAGGATTTTGAGAACAACAAGAAATTCAAAAGGTTGGAATCTAAGACATCCAGTTGGATAAGTGAACAAAAATTGGAGTTACAAAGTAGAGAGTTCCATGAACACCAGACTAGCGACCGGGGATCTGTATTTCATTCAACAGGTAGCCAGCAGCCAGCAGCAAAATCCCACAGTCCGACCTATCAAGCAGGCATAGTGTGAGGGATGGGGCTTGAGGGGAGAAAGAGCTGGGCTGACGTTGAAATACGAACTCATTCATCAGTCAATCAATTAAAACCCCAGCACTCAAATGCCCACTAGATGGTGGGCACTCTTAACAGGCACCAGGCAGGTCACAGCTTTGTTTCGTCTCACCCCAGTACCTGAGCCATCCAGGGAAGAGAGAACAAAAGCAACGTGAGCAGAAAATATCCCGACCTCAAACTGTGCACTGGATTTGCTCTCTGGTTTTAAGAATGGAAAGCCTTAATGTGACCTAAAAAGGGCTTGAATGGATCAGAGATTTGGTTTTAGCACAATGTCTGCACTAATTCAGAACTCCAGAAAAGGCCCTCCTCTCTACATCCTTGATTCTGTAACTCGACCTTCAGTCTTTACATAAATCCTTATTCCTAAATGGGAGGAACTATCTTATCTCTGGGAGAAACTGAGCAATAAGAAGCATGAATTTGTTCACTTGTCCTCATCTCACGGCCCCTCTCCTGGTCTATTACCCATCCACGCCAACCCCATCTTTTGTCCTATGCTGGCCTCAAAAAGATGGAGCTTATACTTTGGAGGAGAGAAGAGTTTGGAAACATTTAGTAAGCTATTTAAAAGTAAGGAGAGGAGTCAGAAAGTGATGAATAAAAAATAATGTACACATTTCTCAATCTGGAAGATTTCAAGAATTGTGGGACCATTTAGAGAGACAGGGAAGTTGGAAGGACAGGAGTTCATCAGTGGTCAAAAGAGGACTCCTGTGGGCACGTGTGGTTCACAACAAGAAATAAGATACTTGGAAGGGCAAATCAGAAGCCACAGAAATAATGTGATCAAAATAATATTAAGGAATACTGACCTCCAGGGCTCAGGAAGGTAGGTGGTAAAAAGCAGCAGAGAGAAAAGCAAACACAGTGGCTCAGCAGCCAAGGAAGGGAAGTTTCAGGAGAACTGCCAATCACACCAACCCCATGGGTGGGGCCCACATCTCAGAACTGAACTGTTGGCCAAGCCCACGAGAGCGCAACTGCAGGTGGACGACAGGAAGCCTGAGTGAACACGATCTTGGGGAGGGCAGGTAACAGCTACCAGGAAGTGTCTGACTAAAAGAAAGGCTGGTGAAGGCAAGAGGCTAGTAGAGGCTGGCAGGAGGCAAGAGGTTCTTTCAGATACAGCAGAATGAACAAACTGGTAGGCATCAAGGAGAAACTGGAGAAAGACAAGTGATTAAAGAGGCCCAAGAAGGAAGGGATAAAAGCTCGAAGTATTTTGATTCACCTCAGATGTTGTAATCAAGCACTAAGTGTTTTGCATACAGGATTAGAGATGAGAATTAGAGCATTCTAACCCTGACACCACCCCCATTTCTATCTCAAAGAAATTTAATGTAGCAGAGTACAAAAGGTAAAGTTCCCCTAAGTGGGAATTGCTAAAGTATTTATTAGCATAAAAACGTCTATGCTTCCAGGGGTTCTTCAAAGGTTCAAATACTTCCTAAAACACTGGCAGGCACTTGAGACAATTTAGGAACAGGCTGCCAAACATGACTACGTGCTGCTTAAAAACTGCTTTGGAAAAAAACACCAGAAAAAATGTGAAAACATGAAAGTCAAACCAGGTGAAATCATCTGCAACGTGACAGTCAACATCTAAAAATAAGAAGTATATCTGTTAAATCAATAAAAAAGCAAGAGCCAAGCCCCTGCAACCTGAGAGAACACACCAACGGGCATCAACACCAGGACAGAGACTCACTTCGGCAATCAACGAAATGCAAATTGAAATGAGATACAATTTCTCAGATAGGAAACACATTACAAAAACTGGCAGCATAACCAGGACAGTTTTAGGGGGTGGAGAGAAGAGTACACTTTGGAAATGTAAATTGTTACGAACTTACTTTAGAGCAAATTTAGTCATCCTTCAAAAATTTAAATGTTATTTAAATTTTATTTCCTACTAAGAATTCGTTTGGCTCACACAATTGTGAAAAGATAGATGTGCACCAATGTTCATTACAACAATTATGCAACAAATCTATTATGTGCCAGACATTACTCGGAAGTCTGGTAATACATAAGTGAACAAAGCAGATTCCTGATCTCAGGACCCGGGGTCAGCGGTCAGGAGAAGCCAACAAATACACTGGAGAAATACTTTATGCAGTGTGGGGTGAGTGCTACCAGCAGAGCAGGGGATGGAGATGTGAAATTGTGTGTGTAGCGCTGGGCTCAGTGACGGAGTTGCCCACACAGGTATCTGAGGGAAGACTGGTCCAGACAGAGGGTATCACTAGCAAAAAGAAATAGCAAGGGGCAAAGAAATAGTAAATTTGGTCAAAGAAGAAAAGGGGCCAGAGCAAAACAAAAAGTAAGCCAATTATCCATCAACAGGAAACTGGACAACGTAGAGTATATTCATACAGTGGAATGCTGTGCATCCAGTAAGTATCAGGATATAGTATATATATGAGGATGCTTCCAAATATTTTTAAACAGAAAAATCAAATGGCAGAATAGTATTACTATGTGATTTCACTCTGTAAAACCAAAAACATAAGCCATGTTCTAGAAGGATATATACTTAACAGTTGTTCTTTCTGTGGGTAATTAAAGAAATTTTTTTTTTTTTTTCTTGAGACGGAGTCTTGCTCCGTCACCCAGGCTGGACTGCAAACAACCTCCGCCTCCTGGGTTGAAGCGATTCTTTTGCTTCAACTTCCCAAGTAGCTGGGACCATAGGCGCCCACCACCACGCCCGGCTAATGTTTGTAATTTTTTAGAGATGTGTGGAGTTTTGTCATGTTGGTCAGGCTGGTCTCGACCTCCTGACCTCTGGTGATCTGCCTGCCTCAGCTTCCCAAACTGCTGGGATTACAGGCGTGAGCCACCACGCCCGGCTTAGAAATTCTTTTATTAAAAAACATTTTTTTTTTTTTTAAGAGACAGGGTATTACAATGTTGCTGAAGTCCTCCAACTTCTGGGCTCAAATGATCCTCCTGCCTCAACCCCCTGCTGTACCCCGCTACCCTGCCCTAGCAACTGGGATTATGTGCACATACCAGTAATTCAGTGACGTATTTGTATTTTTAGAGTTTGGCATATACAAACTATTTGGACTTTCTTAAGGAGCATATAATCAGAAAAAAGCAAGTGATTTAAACATACATAGCAGAGAATCAATAAAGAGGCTTTACAGAAACACACGCAAGAGGGCACTGAAACGGGCGCACCACAGGAGCTGCCGGGGGTGAGAGACGGTTTGCTGGCTGACAACTGCTATGTCCCAAACAGAACAGAGAACCAGTCTACTCAGACACACCCTTGTATAGGTCATCTGCAGTAAAGAATTTAGGTAAAGTAACAAACTTCATGAAGAGATCACATTTCTGTATTTGAGTCACTGAACTCCTATGGAATGCACTTGTGTGTAACCAACTGCTACTCAGAGAGGGCATTTTAAATATAAGGAGAATTTAAAGAACAGAAATTTGATACCTTCATGAAGGCAAAAATTAAAATTTATAACTATTAGGTTCTCCTTGAAAACCACCATTAAAATGCAGGAAAAATTCTCCTGCTCTGCCTCCCGACACCTGAGCAGACACCTGAGCAGACTGAGTGTGCTAACACCCTCCTTTCTTCATCCCCATGCCCCCTAGTCGCACCCTGAGGGAGAGCAGGAGGCCAGCCTCACTCACCCTTTTCTTCAGCCGCTCCCGTTCCTTCAGGGTGAGAGTGTCAGCTTTTGCAATGACAGGCACAATATTCACCTTGTTGTGTATTGCCTTCATAAACGCCACATCTAAGGGCTTAAGTCTAAAATTAATTTTAGAAGTGTCACTTATTTAAAAAAAACACATACAAAACTCTTCTCTCTCTCAAATTATCTTAATTCTTATATTAAAATACAGAGTTTGGGTAAAAGTTACAAACCCATGTAGTAAAGCATTTCTCCACAGTAAACAATTACTTACCCATGTCCAAAAGGTGAAATAAAGTAAAAGCAACAATGCACCCTATTATCAATGATGTGCCGCCTGTTCAAGCCGCTCTCGTCATGCAGGTACCTCTCAAACTGCTCATCAATATAGGAGATAATTGTCTTAAAACTGAGAGAAATAGAAACATTAACAATAATCATAGGGTACAAAACAGGGGGTCCCTGACTTCAAAGGGAAAACAAGTGCCTCTGCCCAAATATATACAATTTAATAATTCATTTTCAAGATGAGAACAGAAGACTGACTCCTAAATTTGGCAAATGGAAGTTTTTGGAAACTATGCCAAGCATAATTGCCTCAAGTGCTGGGAGTCAAAAAAAGCTTGAATGGAATAGGTTTTGATGCACCTGAGAGAGGGCCAGTGTAGACAGGGCTGCCAAGTTTTTCTTTTTTTAGAGAAACTGAGTCTTGCTCTGTCGCCCAGGTTGGAGTGCAGTGGCGTGATCTCGGTCACTGCAACCTCCGCTTCCAGGGTTCAAGCGATTCTCCTGCCTCAGCCTCTCGCGTAGCTGGGATTATAGGCATACGCCACCACGCCCGGCTAATTTTTGTGTTTTTAGTAGAGACAGGGTTTCACTATGTTGGCCAGGCTGGTCTCGAACTCCTGACCTTGTGACCAGCCCCTCCCCGCACCCCCCACCAGCCTCCCAAAGTGCTGGGATTACAGGCGTGAGCCACCGCACCTGGCCAGGGCTGCCAATTCTTTTCAGGCACGTGACTGTGAAGAGGGGCAGAGGAACAGGATGGTAGAGAACATGGGTCAAGAACAGGTTTATCTGAGCTGGGAAACAGCACAGCACTTTCACATGTAAGGGAGAAATTCCTAAATGTAGGAGAAAGACAAAAGAACCTTCCCCTTTCCATCTAGTGGTGGAAAGCTGATGCTTTAGGTTGACAGGATTAGAACAAGGAGGGAGTTTGTACAGTGAAAGTGGCATTCTTTGCCCAGTACAGGTGACAGACTGCTCTATCTTCTACTTCTTGATTTCCTTATTTGTGAAAATGATGCCAATGAGCAGTCATTTACAGACACTACGACCCAATCCACTCTCTAACAGGTTTCACTTCCTTCCACGTGGAAAGGATGTACTACAGTATTTCGTTCACCAGCCGCGGCTCAAATCCAGGTGTTTCATTTACACTAGCAGTCTATGGACGACCGGCTTTGCGATCTCAAATCCTACTAGAGTACCAGAGAAAAATTCCTCTATAAAATTCCTTAAATTATTTAAAAAGTCAACATTAACACACTTTAAATTATCTAGCTGTTTTATTATATACAGCGACCCCAAACTTAATCACTCATTAACACAATCTATAAATTTAAGTACATTAAATAAACAAATGCAGATCCCTGGGCACCCGGGTGCATACCAATCTCTGCAGTTGATAGCGTCACCATAGCCAGGGGTATCTACCACTGTCAGGCGTAGCTTGACCCCTCGCTCTTCAATTTCAACAGTTGAAGCCTCAATCTGGACAGTTCTTTCAATTTTTTCTAGAAAAGAAACAAACTTAATAGGGAATATAAGCAGCATGCGAAGACGAAAGCTCACATTAACAACATTCTCCCAACTAGTGACTTCAGAGTCCACTACCTCTCTGCAGAGGTAGGTTCTCCGAAGTTACCATGGGGATTACGCAAAAATGATCCCAGAGGAGTCAGAAAGGGGAAGGTTAAAAACACAAATATTAAAAATCATAATTTCTGTTCCTGGGAAAAGAAAGGAATTTACGAATTCATTTAAAAACTGAATTCAAAAATATCCTGAAAGGCGTACATGTTCTTGCAGCAGCCCCAGTCCTGGGTTCTCACTGTGTGCGCCTAATTCATTCAACAGGCATTTGTGGATGCTGGTGTCCTGTGCTGGAACTTTCCAACAGCAGATGAATTAGAACATCTATCCCAGCAATCTTCTAGTCACACAGCATTTTTGATGTACAACATTCTCACTTAATCCATCAAATGTTTAATATAGGCAGAAGCTACTTATTACATTTTACAGACAAAACAAACTCAGAGAGGATAGATCCATGGATACGTGTCAAAGAAAGTCTACAGCCATAAATCCAAGGACCTCGGTGCAGCAACTGCCCCATAAGCGTTTTCCTTGTGTTCAAAGTTGAACAAGAACAAACAGAACACAGAGCTAAGACATAAAACATTCATTAGGCAGTCTTCAGCACCTTTCATGTAAAATTACACTTACAGTAACATAGGAATGTTTTTACCTGCAGCTCCAGGTATGACTCTTTCTGGGTAGAGATCAGTTAGGAAAAGGCTGTTTATGAGAGTCGATTTTCCTAGACCTGATTCACCTTTAAATAAAAAGAAAAACCCTGTCATGACCTTATACATATGACACCATTCAATCTGTTAAGTGTTTACACGTGGCCTGGACTGGGCTAAGCACCTCACAAACATCATTCTGTGTTTAGTACCTATAGTTCCACTACGTCTGGAGCATGATCTTTGAGTGTACTCAAAGAAACTCTAATTTGCCCAAGGTCGGAGTACTATCCGGAGCAGGGCCAAGATTGAATTCAGGTCTATGAGACTAGACCTTGAACATCATACAATCAGAAACACGACAGTTCACAAACGTGAGGAATGTACTTTAGAGGTTGGTTTTTATTTTTGACAAACAGAATGTAAAGCAAGTTTTCAATGATCAGTTCTGCTAGTCACTAAACTTACCACATTTTCAGAAAACTGAACATATCTATCCTGTAGTGTCAAGAACACTTGTGCTTCCCGAGCTGCAGGAACGGGTGAGCAGGACAGGGCCTGTGGTCTGGTGGGCTCACTTCTTGAACCCTCACTCTGCAACCTCCCCCTTCTGCCACCTTGTCTTCTTCCTGCTTTAAACCCATCCCCGTTTCCCGGCACTGGCAACTGCCATGTGTCAGGCAACTTTCCTGCTCCCTTTGCTGAGTTCACATGATCAATTCAGCGACACATATCCATGTAAGCTTTCAACGAGGTGAGAATCTCTCTCCAACTACTGTGAACATATATTCTGATTATCTGAAATTTAACTTCAAAAAAGATGCAAAACACCAAAAATTAAATTTTACATTTGAAGGAAGCACAAATTCCACTGCTTCATTGCAGGTTATCATCTAAGTCTGAATTCTGCATGGAGAAGCGCTTCTGATCCTGGTACTACATAGCACTTGGTGCTGGACCGTCCCCTAGGCACCTAAACCACCCTCTGTTAAGTTCTGCAAAGCCTGAGGAAGGAGTACACATCTCTTGAAAAATTATTTCTGGCTGGGCACAGTGGTTCACACCTATAATCCCGGGACTTTAGAAGACCAAGGCTGGAGGATCACTTGAGGCTAAGAATTTAAGACCCTACCTGGGCAAAAAAGTGAGACCCCCATCTCCCAAAAAACCAAAGAAAATAAAAAACTCCAAAACCTTAGCCAGGCGTGGTGGCATGTACCTAGAATCCCAGCTACTTGGGAGGCGAGGGCAGGAAGATTGCTTGAGCCCAGGAGTTAGAGGTTATAGCAGGCTATGATCATGCCATTGCACTTCAGCCTGGGTACAGAGTGAGACCCTGTCCCTTACAGAAAAAAACAATTCTGGGAAAATCAAGAACAAAAAAGTGAATTTGAAATGTGCAGATATACAAAATTAGGACTGCATTTTAAGTGAACTGCAATTTTCACACATGAAAAGAACAATGTGTTGCACATGCCTAAAAATGATTGTAAAAATTTGACTAAGTACCTATTATCCCATTAAGTCATCCTTTTAATAAACTGTGGTGCAATGCCCCTTTACATTTTTGCTCCATTTAAAGAAGGTTTTACCAGTAATTGCTAAGTCCTTTCTGCATGTCTGGCACAGGTCTAGGAGCAGAGACACGACATAGAACAAGAAGGAACCAAGTCCCTGCTCCCTGGAGCTCTGCAGCCCAGCAGGGAGAGGATAAACCGATGAAATCCCTTTCTGACTAGAGTAGCAACAGCTGTGGGGAACAGCTGAGAAAGTCATCAGAGACAGCTTTTAAAAAAGCAGTTAGAATATCCCACTGGCTACTTCTAACTTATAGATCTTAATTTTAAGGGTATATGTGATTATTTTACTTGGAATAGCTTTTGAGTAACATCAACAAATGGTTTGCTTAAGGAACTCAGAACATGAGGCTACACTTGGGCTGAATCACTGCAGCGCAGGCACCCAGCTCTGCTCTGCCCCACTTTCTTTAGTATCTCCATTCTGGCCAGGCGTCTTTCACATACGTGTCAGCAAATGAGAGAACAAGACACACAGAGATCCGGGCCTGTAAATCTATGCCAAATGCACTGGGTCCAGAAGTTTCACTTGTTACAAAAGTAACAAAGTATTTTTTAAAGTGCCAGAATTAATATAGTTTTTCTCTAATAGTAGTGACAAAAAAGACTGGAATGGGAGGTATTCAGAGTTTAAAATATGGCATGTTTTCCCTAATTAGAAAGAAAACAGTATTAGGCACAGTGGAACCATGGAAGGAAACATACATATGGGGTGAGAAAGTGAAGCTTCACTGTACAATACTATTCTGAAATCCCATCAGGCAAATTTGTCACCGAAGTTTTAGGCTTGAGTTAGAAGTTTTTTTTTAATCCTAGGCTAAAGAAATACAACGGCAAAACAGCCTATTTCAGGAATATTAGGAAGTAGCTTTCAAATCTGAGGGAATTTCTCTTCAAATTTTAAATTTTTTAACCAACACGAAAATGAAACTGCTTTCTCAAACACTATGCATCAAGGGCCTTTCTTGGGAGGCTCCTGAACAGCGGTAATCTAAGGGATCAGCTTTTTTGCTCATTCAAACAACTCCCACCAGAGCTGTGCAAGAGCAGGATGGCACTGAGAGCTGTGTGAGGCTGGACTCTGTGGGAGCCGGCAGCTCATGAAGGTTTCAAAAAGGTCTGGCCTGCCCATCCCAGACTCCTGCGCCCTCAGGATGGAACGCCTGTAACATGTGTGAGCTCCTGGAATTATACTCCAGCTTTTAGTACTCAAGTGCTTGCTCCAACCCTCCTGTAAATTTGATCACAGTAACAACCTACTTTCCTCTTTTTCAGACACAAACATCTTTACATTAGATTTCTATTAGGTAACATATTTGGCAACAGGCTTTATTCTTAAACATGCTTTTCATATAATTAAGCCACCATCACATATAAATGTAGCCAAGGTAATAACTTCTTTTTTTTTTTTTTTTTTGAGATGGAGTCTTGCTCTGTCGCCCAGGCTGGAGTGCAGTGGCCGGATCTCAGCCCACTGCAAGCTCCGCCTCCCGGGTCTACGCCATTCTCCTGCCTCAGCCTCCCGTGTAGCTGGGACTACAGGCGCCCGCCACCTCACCTGGCCAGTTTTTTTTGTATTTTTTTGGTAGAGACGGGGTTTCACCATGTTAGCCAGGCTGGTCTCGATCTCCTGACCTTGTGATCCGCCCATCTCCGCCTCCCAAAGTGCTGGGATTACAGGCTTGAGCCACCGCGCCCGGCGCCTAGGCTGGACTGCAGTGGCGCTATCTCGGCTCACTGCAAGCTCCACCTCCCGGGTTCACACCATTCTCCTGCCTCAGCCTCCCAAGTAGCTGGGACTACAGGCGCCCGTCACCACGCTGGACTAATTTTTTGTATTTTTTAGTAGAGACGGGGTTTCACCGTGTTAGCCAGGATGGTCTCCATCTCTTGACCTCGTGATCTGCCCGCCTCGGCCTCCCAAAGTGCTGGGATTGCAGGCGTGAGCCACCGCACCTGGCCGAGAGTAACTAAATATAATTATTTATCACTCTAACTAGAATCTACAGCAATATGGTCACCAAATTGTCTCATGGACAGTCTGCAACCTGGCTTCCTTGCTTGATGTCGCTGAATAATAAATTCGTGATTTTAGAATCCCTTGCAGACTGTTGCCCCAACATCTGTAGTCTTTCATTTGCATTTGATCTGTTACTTTGTGAACTTGCCTACTTCTTTAGAAGTCTGACACAATTTTAAAAACTATGCCTTTCCTCTTCAATAGTTTCTCTTTTACCAATTACGTGTGCTAGGGTTTTCCTGATATACCCATTTTTCTTGAGCTATTAATACAATTTGAAAGTTGAGGGTTCTTGTGGCTTTCTAGTTCTACTTTTCACTACTCACCCTCAACCCCCTACCTGTTTTCTTTTAAATCCACTTTATGGAGGCACAATTTGTTAATACTAAAATACACCCATTTAAACTGTACAGTTGACAAAAGTAGATACTCAGATAACCAAACTCCACTCAAGATAAAAGATTATTTGTGTAACCCTAGAGTTCCTTCGTGTACCTGTGAAGTCTGCCCTCTCCAGTCCCCACTGCAGGCGAATGCCAATCTACTTTGTCACTACGTATCAGCTTTGCTTATTCTAAAACTTTTAAATGGCATCATACAGCATGGCCTGTTTTGTGTCTGGCTGCTTTTGCTCGACACAGCTCTGAGACTGACGCATGCTGTTGCATCTATGAGTAGTTCGTTTCTTTGCAGTGCTCGGCAACATTCCATTGTATGGCTACACCACAATTTGTTAACCCACTCTCTAGATACCTCTGCTCTCCCCAGTTTGGCGCTATTTTGAGAAAAGCAGCTATGAACATTCACATACAAGTCTTTATGGACATATTTTCATTTCTTATGCGTAAACACTTACAAGCGGTATTGCTGGGTCTTAACTGTTAAAGTAGTACCAAACTGGCTTCCATACTGGTTGTGGCATTTTTACACGCTCACTAATACGAGTTCCAGTTGTTTCACATCCTTGCTGACACCTGGAGTGCCTGCGTTTTAGTGGATGTGTGGTGGCATGTAGTGGTTTCAATGCATAGTACCCTGATGACCAAAGATGTGGACATGTTTACGTGGGTTTACCGGCTATTTGTTTATCTTCCTTAGTGGAATGTCTATTCAGATCTTTGGCCCCCTCTTTGTAAGTGGGTCATTTGTCTCACTGATCTGTAAAAGATTTTTATATATTCTGGACACATATCCTTTGTCAGATATGGTACTATGAATACTTTGAGTTCTTCACATTTTATTTTCCTATTGATGTCTTTTGAAGAAGGCCAACTTTTAATAATGCACAAATATTTTTACAATTTTTATTCTCCATGTCCTAAGAAATCTGCTTACTACAAAGTCAAAAAATTTTTTGCCCATTTTCTTGTAGAATTTTTATAGCTTTACATTTAAATCAACTATCATTTCAGGTTAATTTTGACACACAGGAAGCAGGAGTTGAAGTTCATTTTTTCACACATAATCATCTAGTTGTTACAGACTGCAAAAA